GATGTTAATTTTACCTGTGATCCTTTGAATAAACCAGCACGGTTTTTTGTATCCACTTGGACCGCCTCGTCTCTCTGAGTTTCACTGGTTAAGAGTAACTGGGAAATATCTTTCATTATTAAACTAAGTTAACTGATTGACACGGTAGCTCTATTATTTAGGGTAAGATAAGATAAAATAAGACTTTATTAATCCCACAATGCGGAAATTCCTGTAGGATAACCTTAAACTGAGTGATGTTTAGCTGACTTAGCACATAAATCCGAGGCTGAAAATGACCTAAACAAGACAGCCGACCTTATCTGTTACCTTCCTGATGTTAGCTACCTTGAGTTATGTTCTGCCAAAACTTAGCTAACCACACTGTTAGGTATTTTTAGTCAGATAGAAATTGGATAGATACTTTATGTATCAGAAATGTTTAGTGGAGATAGGATGTCTAGTTAGACTGTTAAATGCTTAGTCATGCTTATGAGTTTCTACAGGGTGCATCTGGTCAAGGATAACTAGAGAGAAAAGTTGATGACTGTCAGCAGACAGGGTGTTTAATATTATTATTATGACGTGTATAACTGTAGCCTTAGCCATAATATGTTCTTATGTTTAATATCACTACATGTTACTAGAGGTCGTGAGAATGTTTTTAGTTACACACCACTTAACCAACAGACACACACATTCACACATTGATTTGCTTCATGTTTTGACTACTGCTAGGGCCAGCTGCAAAACTGGCAACAGCTGGTTGATGTGTCTGTGTAGTATGGGGCTAGCCCAACTGAGGTGATATAATGTATAGGCCTGGTGGGTTCAGGGTCTTTCATCTTACATCTGCCTGCGTGCAGTTTGGAGGTGCAAGATACCTGAGCGTGTAATGTTAATTTTACCTGTGATCCTTTGAATAAATCAGCACTGTTTTGAAGTTACTTGGACTGTCTCGTCTCTCAGAGTTAGCAATGGTAACAAGAGCCATAATCCTACAACACAAATAAGCTACAAACGCCAGCTGTAAGTACAGTTGATAACCGTAGTAAACTGGGCTATTAAGAAGGATAATGTTACCTAGTTGGGTGACTGTCTGGACTTTATAGCACTTACTTCTGCGCTTTGACTCGATCCTTTCAATCTTGAAGTCATACTGTCGAAGCACAGTGGGTGGCAACGACCCAGCCTTCCCAAACCTCAAGTTTGACGAGTCTAAAGCCTCCTTAAAGTAAATCACCGACGTCGGACAGAGAGTTTCGTCTGGACTGACAACATGTCCCTTTTCGTCTGAGGAATTTTGCATCCCAGAACTTTCTGAAACCTCTGAAGATAATTGTACAGGTAGAGCCCCCGACGGCACATCCCGCCCTGCCATCCTAGCTCCGGACTAATTCACCTCATGTGACCAGCGGGTGAGCTGTCACTCAGCGCTCGACTCGCCAGGTTAGCTAGGTGCAGTTATTATACTGCGGCCACCGTCGTTACCAAAACATGCGAAATGGCAATTAATTTACTCCAAAATGTGTCCAGTAATCACTGCGTCTTTCGTCCTACCCTTCACAGTCTCCCCCTAACCCGGAAACAGCTACACATTAACATATTGGTCAAATCTGTTCCTAATTTCCGTTCACATGACCAGAAATAATATACATTAAGGAAGATGCACCGCAAGTGGTAGATCTAGGGTTGAGCGCCTGCTTTCTCCCATGATTCATTGCGACATACGCCAAAACGCTTGTGCCTCTCTTTTATTAAAGACTCTCTGGTGAACTGTTGTTGCATTAACAGGACCCTTTATACGCTCAGAAATAGCGCAACCTGCTGGACAACAAGAAAATAACATTTTAAGAAAATGATTTACATTCATATGCTCTAACTAATAGATTGCAGCAATAACATTCACCTGGCCTGCACAAATAGCCTAATTACATGATCCATACAATACCAGAGGCTGCAAAATATGTGTGCTTTCTTTAGCTATGGACATCTGCCAAGTTTGTATTTCTAATATGAAATAATACACAAATGCTTTCAAATGTTTAAAATATGTTTGCAATGTTTAGATTGTTCAAATGGCAAAAAAGGTTTAAAAATGTGTGCACATCCCAACAAAAATTGGGTACAGGTGCAGGACAAATCAACCAGTAAGAAGAGAAATCCATCGTGCTCTTCATCGGGCAGATTATTTGCCTGATGAAGACCATGTTGGTTGAAATGTTGCATTGCATCAGTATGCAGCCTTATAAATCCTTATAAATTTGCTGTTCAGCTATTTCCTTTTGGAGTTAATTCAGTTCTAAGCTCATTTTTGTCCTAATTAGGCCTCTGCCAATAAGTTTCAACATTTTCTTTCATTTACATCAATGATGTAAACAACTGCTATAATTAGTAACACAATTCATTGTATTACCACAATAGTTCAAAAAGACAATAATAAAGCACAAATGAAATTCCAGATAATACTGGTCAGTAAATTCAACCTCACAGAAGAGTATTACAGTGTTCTTTGTTGAGTCCTATTACAGTTAGTTGCAAATGGAAATGGCAAAAGGAGTAAAACAAAGAATTTTTTTCTTATCAATATAATAGTTAATGTACATTAAGCTAGTGCAAATGTTCCTTCATCAACAGAAGTAACAAAAATGGTCATGGAGTGTATAAAAAGAAAGTTATAGTAAAATAATAAAAATCATATTAGTGCAAAAGTTTGTCTCCATCTTTATGAAATGTTCTCTAATACTTTGTATGTCCTCCCAAACCTCCTTCACCCTCTCTGGGTGCCTTCTGAGCAGTGCTTGTATCCATCCATCATCTATACTACTTATCCTGAACAGTGGGAAGTGATGTTTTGCCCATTTTTAATGTCAACATGTGTTTTAAAGAGTTTCAGAGAAAAGAGGGAGGTGGAGCCACATTTCTTGGAACAATTTCACATCAAAGACATGAGCTGGCATGAAATTAAAAAAACCTGTGGAGAGACAACAGGGATCAGAACAGCAGCATTAGGTGTTCACACATGGTAGAACACATTTCAAATAAAATGCCAACAAGCCCTTGAGCACAGCTCTGAAAACCCTCTTTAAGAAGAAATTCAATTCTTTAATAGGCTTTATGTTTTAAAACTGAATTTAAAAGAAAGAAGCAGAACTGTGAAATGGCTAATGTTACTCTGTCTTCCTGTCTCTTTTGACTTTTCTGATGTTTGTCCAGTGATAAAACTTGTCATGCATGGTGGAAAACCTGAAAATGCTGACATGCCGAACATGTTGTAAATGGATAAAGAGCACCTGTTTTGCGTTAAACACTCATTTATGTGGGATAATACCTTCTCTCAGATATGTCATCTTAAATTTGTGTTATGAATAAAAATATAAAACATTGTTTTGAGAACAGTGTATGAGAACAACTTGTACATTTTTAAATAGCAAAGGTAAAAGCACAAGACAATTTTTTAAAAACCTTTGACTAAGGCTTGTTCAGGTCAAAGTGTAACCAAGATCCTGTATCATATCATGGGCCCAAACTGCAACACAAGTTTCCACAAGGTAATTTTCTTCTCAGACCAATTGGGATCAACTTTAGCACAGACCATCTTTATTCAAAATAAAGAACAATAATCAAAATGTTCCAAACAATGATACGTAACTTGTTGAAAAACATACACAATTAATAGAAATTCAAATGTTCATCTCAGTTCAGACATAAGTATGTAAATTTGTTTTAAATGTATACAACATAGGCCTGCTTCTGATATACAAGACCTTCAAATCCTACTTGCAAAAATAAACTAGATATCAAATCAGTCTCTGTCTAAACAGTTCAGCCACATGATGTCTTAGTTTTGACGGCACAAATCTCTGTCCCAGTTTTGTCCTGGTAATACCTCGTGACTTTCCAAAAAGTATCAGGGTGAGTGTGACTTAGATGAAACCTGAAACATTTAACATCCCCAGCATGTAATGTTTAACTTTGAGTTTCACACACGTTAAGTGTTACTCTTCTGTTGTTGTATATAATCCAAGAGACTAAATCTGAGAAACATAAACCCAACCTAAAGTTAAAGGTTAATCATCATAAAGCTGTTAAAAAATTCATGTCATGTGATGACAGCATGTTCAGTCTGTGTGTTACTTAGCAAAGACAGGGTGTCCTTGTTAATTCATCACATCAGGTTGCACTTCTTTTGCAGCGTGTCCACTCTAAATTTGAAAAGCCCTCTTCTGACGAATGAAGTTAAACATTTACAACACTAAATTGGGTAATATATTAATGAGACTGATATCATGAATACAAAGCTTTTCCCATTGTGGTAAAGTAAAAAAATATCACAAAAACTGTCAAACTGCAATTCAGTGCAAAAAAAAAACAAAAAAAAAAAAACTGTGGTCATTCATATGTACAGTATATTTTGACATTATAACAATTTGTCTAATATTTTCCTTTTACCTTTTTCCATCACCTGGTCTTTACATGGAGGCCTGTGCTAACACATGTTGAAGACGGTCATCCAGTAGATTTTCCTGTTTTGCAGTAGAGTTAACTTAGCCTGTGTAGCATGAGTTAAACTGTGAGTTAGCTTAGTTGACTAATGAGTTGACACCATCCCTGCTATTTTAAAATGACTTTGCACTTGCTATGGATAGAAAACCTTGCAGATATAATGTAGAGACATTCGCCTGACAAGTATCCCAAACGTATAAAGCCAGAACAGGAATGCTTTTTCTGTAAAATCTGGGATTATAAAACATAATGATGAACAACGGTATTTCATTAAACACTATTTTACCAGTGCCATTGGGAGCTTTGTGGCCAAAAGATGTCTCAGTTTTGCTTTTCAGTTTTTTGTTGCATTTATTTATATAAAATACATGCCTGTGTGTTTGTATGCTTCTTTTCATCGTGACATTTTGTGATCAAATGTCTTCCTTTTGTTTATGTTTTCAGTATCCAAAGAATGGACGCAGTTTAAGCTTTGACCCTGACATAGATGTACAATGACTTGTTCCAGCCGCAACAAAAAGATGATAGAGAGATGATCACTATGCAGCAGCGGAGCAGTCTGACCTCCCACCGGAGGAGTGGCGTTAATAGAAGGATGGTCCAGCAAATGGAGGCGACGGACGCGTGCCGAGCGCAGCCGCCTCACAATGCCACACACAAACCTGCCCGAGCAGTGGAAGTAGACTTCTTTACCTTCATACCACCGCAGGGGTGACAACAGGAGCCAAACACAGAGCCAAAGATAAGAATACAGCGGTAAGCCCTCATACAACTTAACGACGTGAACTATTAAGGCCTCGTGTGCGTGTGTGAAGGGGGGTGTTGACTAATGTATAAGTCGCCATAACACTTTGTCAGTTGTTCTACAACGTGTAACTGGCGCCTTAAGGACTTCATCCTTTTTTTTATCGTGCTTTATGTTGCTTTGAATACATTTCGAGTCATACTGTCTACGTGGTCTAAAGTGAAACACTGGCTGATTTATCCAGCGGTTAAGGTCTGACTTGTGCGTAAATGCGCAGCTGGCGTGTGTTTGTTTTGGTCAGTCGGTTCTTTGGTACATTTAGAATAAATACAATACGGTTAGCGTCATTTATGGAGCTTTCTGTAATTCCTGCTTGTTGACTATTAGAGTTTTGGAGCCCAGGCATCTGCATCATATCATAAAGTCAGATATTGTTTTATAAAGTGCATGAAATCGATCACTTAAGTCCTTAGAATGCTGCACAAGTGTTAGTGTAGTATTTTTTGTACATGCTTGTAGTATTGCTGTGATCTTTTTTGTTCCTTTAATCTCATTGGGCATTCACTTTGGGACCAACAGCAGGTGCATAAGTCTTACCTGTGCTGTATCCCACAGAATTCTGTTTTGGTGTTATTGTTGTATGTTGTTCATTCAAACTCTTAGGTTGTAAAAGAGTGATTGTGTGTTGAGTTCACAGCAATGACTTTTCTTATGTTACTTTGTCAGGTAAGACAACAGCACCAGTGATCTGCTGTGCTCAGCACATTCAGCCAAGAGACTTAACTCACGCAACCTGAAAAGATGAGCAACAAGAAGTAAGTGACTTCAGCAAGCTTCACAGGAGCAGAGCTACACGACCTTAAATAAACTGAATCCAGCATACCTGTGTGTACAAAGAGAAGTGGTTGCTTAATATGAGAAGGAATTAATGTTTATAGATCAGGTGCACTTTACCAACAGGTGTTTCCGTAACAAGGTTGAAAATTCACAACACACCCTCTGGCAAAAAAAGGGACATATATGCTCTGAGTCGCTGCTGGAGGGTGGTTGCTGAAGTTGACTTTTCTGTGTTTCAAGTTCACAAAAAAGTAAATGATTATAGCTCATCTCACTGTGAGCTACTCAGTTCAGTGAGCTAGAAATATAAGCAAACTACACATGGCTGGGTGTTTACAAATTCATGAAGGTCATTTAGAGTTTAAACATGTTAAAGTAAGAGATGAGCAGCTTTTCAAGGATCCTAGCCTCAGAGAAACGCATATCTCAAATACAGCTTTGTGTAAAATAGACAGACCTTAACATAGCGGCTTTGTTGCTCAAATGCTTAACAGTAAATTAGTATTACATGTGTCCTGGAGGAAAACAGGGAGAGCATTTATGCATCTTTAAATATGTGGTTATTTTAAAATTGTTGGCAAGATGTTTGACCTTGAGGGGCATCAGTAGCCCATGTGATACTCCGTCATTTTGACTTTGTATTTGTTCCAGTTGTTGTCAGAAAGCTGAAATTTGCTAATTCACTCGCGACTTAATGAAACACCCCGTAGACTTGCCTTCACTCCTACACCCACACAGAACTTGTACTGGTGATAATATAGTTACACACTCACTGGAATTGTTCACAGTCCTTTTTGTTAGACAGTCTTGGTAGAACAGTGTCAGTGGTTGGACAACTGAGCAGACCCAGCTCTCAGAGGTGCTGAGCTGGTCCAGCCACTGTTTGACATGAGCAACTGCACAGCAGATGCTGTGTGTCAAGCCACATATCTGCTCTTTGCTTGGGTGAGAACACGGGCAGGGCCACTTTGTGTTAAGCGTAGTTTGAGTCTGTAAAATGGTGTTGCTTACTGTGGGGCTCTGAAGATTTATGACAGCATGGCCTGACACCCCCATCTTTGGGGCCAAATAATGGTAAACGTCATTTAACTCATACACTCATACACATATGAATGATGGCCCATTATTTGGCACATTTAATTGTGTATTATTGACTAACAGTCGTTTTGGAGCCACTGTTTTAGGGCCTTAAATCCCAGTTGAACCCAGCCTTTTTGCTTTTGTGACCCCCATTTACTTGACTTAAGCAGTGATAAGTTTTGGTGTGAGTTGTAACGAGCAAAGCTGTGAATTTCAGCCTCATGCACAATGAAAACTGTTTTCAGGTGAAAAGAGTGGCTTTCATTTAACAAAAACTTGTAGGTAACCTTTTATTGTGTGGCAAAGCGTTTTGAGCCTCAGTCTGACACTGTGTGACTTTGTTTTAATTTCTTTAGGGAACTGACTTTGGAAAGATTTGAATTATGTGTATCTGTATTGTGTAGTTTGTGTGAGTAAGGATTTTGTTATTGTGTTCTGACTTGCAAAGGGAGTACAGATGTAAATGATCTTAAAGCTGTAATATGGTATGGTGCATCAAATGGTAACATTTATGTTTAACCATATACTTTCCCTTTTAAATAAACAATGTTGAATGTGCAGGACATAGTACAGGATAAGTGACCTGGACACGTTTACTCATATCTTGTGATGACTACAGCAGATAATGGATATCAAAACGCAGTCCGCATGCCTTCGGGCTGTTTGATGTTTCCATAATTTGGTCACATGGTCGACAGTTGCATCAGTGCAGGTTGAGAAAATGGTCTCTTCTTCAAACAGATAGTGAATGTGGGACAGGGAGACTGATATATTATATACGTACAACCACGAGTGCGGAGTAACAGCCTGTCATGTTGTGATTGCTTGTGGAGCTTATATAAGGTTGTTTGAAGATTTAGCTACTGATCACCAACACAGTCCCTAACTTAAAATACTGATTAAAGGAAGAATCCACTTTAAAATACTTTTATGCTTTCAAATACTCAGGTGTTTGTAATATAATATATATATATCACTGGGTTTGTTTTCTTTTCTGTTCTTGTTATTCCTTATAACTACACACATGCCATAAAGTCACACTGAGATCTTTCCAGTGCAGCTGTAATAATTTAGTAGCAGAAAATATTTCAGTAATCTAAACCATCCGAGGGCAGATGTGAGGCTGAGAGACAATTTCCAAGTTGTGCAAAATCCCAGGTAAACAAAGTCAGTCCTTAACTTGCAAAGATCCAATTAAACCCAATGACAGTATGTATGAAAAGTGATATTCTGGCAGTATTGTAGTTGGATAGACCTTTTGTCACAGGTTTGAAGGAACATTTCTGTCTGGACAAACTCCTCATAGCTACAGTATGTTAAAACAATACACACCGTACGTGTAAGGTGAATTCTTATTTTCCACTGACATGACTGATGCCAGGCTGGCGCTCAGTTCATCGCTTAACTGGATGTGGCTGTAAGCTCTTAACAAAAGTAAATTAATCCCAGTAGATGTGGTTCAGTGGTGCTTTAATTGTCACAGAGCAACAGCAAATGTCAGCTTCATCAGCAGCTTGACGAGTACACAAGCATTCAAAGAGTTTGCACCCTGACTGTGTGTAGCCCTGTTGCTTAACCTGCTGCTTTTATTTTAGAGCCGTTACACACACTGAATATTAAAACATGAGGTGGAGTAATCACTGAAATAATCAGTATGCAGTTTTAAGGTGTTCTTTGTTACATCACTAACTTGATATTCTTTTCTTCAGTTTATTCTAATAGGTTTGGTTCTACTGTAGGAAAAATAAAAAGAAGAGTTGAGGAAACGGTGCAGTTTGAGTGCAGACCTGTGGTCTGTTGGCTCAGGCTGAGTGGAGTTTGGTCTGTTATGTCCATGATTGTTCCATAGGTGGCAA